TCTGAGCCCCAGGATATATGGGACAGAGTTTGTAAGATTCGGAGACGGCGGCGAGTTTTTTTTCTTTGGTGTAAATGGTATGGTCTCACCAGGACAGTTTGGAGTCAAAAGTAACGCCTAGGACTTTGCCAGAGGGACGGTATTGGAGTGGATTGTGTCTCATAAGAAGAGTGGAGGTTGGGGACCTACACGTGTGCGAGAGAAAAGGATGGAGAAAGATTTGGAGGTAGAGAAGCTGAAGCCATGGTTAGTGGCCCAGGATGATACTAATGATATTGCAGACTGAAGGAATTGGCTGAGATTTGGCATGGATGTGCCAAAGGCGTAGATAGTTAAATCATCAGCATATAGTGATGACCGGGTTCCTGGTGGTAGAACTGAGACAGTGTCATCAACAGCAAGAAGGAATAAAGTGGTACTGAGCACTCTGCCTTGTGGGACGCCTTCGAATTGAGGAAAGAAGGATTATGTGGAAGAGACAATTTTGACCTGGAAAGTGCGTTTGGAGAGGCTTTAACCCCTTGGTGCCGGGTATGACATGTACGTACGTGCTATGCCCACCGTGAGTACTTGTTCGATTGTTTTTACGCATAGATGGCAACACTTGTACTAACTCCCCAATGAGCCAACTACGAGCACCGCCCGTCTCGCCCGTTTACCCGTTTCTTTGATTTACAAAATATTTTACATAATCTTATTTTGCTGTTACTAATGTTAAAAGTCATTATAAAAATTATAATGTTTATGATAAAAATAACACCATCGATTTTCATAGCACTAGTGAAAAATACGTTTTTCCCGCCATTTAAATCAGGCGCTAGCAGAGCCATCTATCGGCAGACATTTCACGAAAAACATAGAAAGTGGGCACAATATTTTCCCCATTTTTTGTTCATTTTCCCCGGCACCATTGGGTTAAAAGACACCCTTGTTTCTGCACATCCCTAAAGAGGACAATTGGTGGAGAATAAGGTACCGCCATGTAGTATCATATGCTTTTTCTAAGTCAAAGAATATTGCTAATATGAATTCATAGCGTGCAAATGCAGATGTAATATGTCTCAAAATGAGCAAGTGGGTCAGCTGTGCTTCGGGCACAGCGGAAACCAAGCTGGAAAAGAGAGGTAAGATTTGAGATTCAAGATACCACATTAAACGGAAGTTAACCATTCGCTCTAGTAGTTTGCACAAGCAGCTAGTTAGAGCGATGAGACGTTAGAGGGTACCCTATTTATTGGGGTTCAGGAAGGGAAGGATAAGAGCTCGTCAATGAGAAGGAAAATTTCCTGACGTCCATATGTGTTTGAAAATTGTTAATAGGAAGGATAGAGGGGAATATGGGAGTTGTTGGAGCATACGGTAGTGAATACCGTCAGGGCCTTCATGAGTGTTGCGGCACGACTGTAAGACAGCATTAAGTTCAAAGAAAGAAAAGGGAAGTGTGGAGAAAGGTGAGAATCACTACTGACCTGGCTGAAATAGTGACCCAGTTCATTGGCGACTTGGAGAGGATCAGAGATGAGAGTATCTTGAATATGGAGGACGGGGGCTGGAGGGGGGGGGGTTGCCAAATAGTTGATGGATATGGCGCCGAACAGTTGAGATAGATGTAGATGTAACTGAGGAAACATAATCTCGCCAGCTATTTGTTTTACTGTTCCGGACTGTACGACGAAGAGAAGCAGATGCTCTTTTAAAGGAAAGAAGGGCTAATAGTTGGTTAGGAGTGCCTCGTTTATAGCGGTAACTGTTCCAGGCTGCACGTTTTAAGTGAAGCGCTTTAATGCCCAATGAACACATTTGGAGGTATTGGTTCTTGGGATTCGAGGAATAGCTGTATGTGCAGCTCTCAGGATTGTAGTTGTGAAACATTGTATCATATCTGAAATGGACGAGAAGGAAGATGGAGGAGTAGGAATAGCAGAGAGAGAAGTGAAAGTACGCCAGTCAGCTCTGTCAAAGCACCAGCATGGGGAGTTAGGAAGTGGTACATATGAAGTAGGAGAAAGGAGGACTGGAAAGTGGTCTAGGACTGACCAATGGAAATCTAAATGAAGAGAAGGGGAGCATGAGAGAGGTCAAGGCATGAAAAATATTGCGTGCGTGTATCAAAGTGTGTGGGGCGACCTGAATTAAGAATACTAAGGTCAGTTGTGGAGAGGAAGCGCTTTAGGGATCGGCCTCGGGAGTTGGTAATAGAATCCCCCCAAAGAGTGTGGGAGCAGTTAAATCACCAACTATGAGGAAATGTGGTTGGAGTTGGGAAATTAAACTATCACGGGAAACAAAGTCAATGGGGGTGGGAAGGGGAGAAGTAGACTGATATCACTGTGATCCAGCGGCGAAGAAAGATGCGAATAACTGTGCAAGGGACAATGATTTGAGAGGGAGGTATGACATAAGGTGTTTTCTGGTTAATAAGTATGGACGAGACATAAAGGGAGTGTGGGGAAGAGACAAAATGGTAATTGAGGATTGGTATTGGAGGATGTGTAAGAAAAGTCTCTTGGAGGCATATAATGGATGGGTTATAAGAGGAAAGGATATGACGAAGGTCGGGTCTGTGAAAACGGAAACCGAATATTCCAATGAAGGATATTTATACTTTAGTTGATTTTCGAATGATAACGGTTACAGTGCGTGTTGGAGAATTTGAAGGGGAAGGAGCTAGGGGGTGAGATAAGGAATGAGAGGGGGGAGGTGATGTATCAGGAAGGGTATCAGGAGGTGGAGGATCTGGGGAAGGGGATAGTTGCGACATTACTGGAGTAGGGAATGAGAGAGAAACCTCGTCGACGCGCTTTCTGCTTGGCTTCACGTAGAGGGAGTCTAAGTCTGAATCTGAGAATTGCTACCTCAGACTCAAATTTGTAGGTGGGGCAGCCTCCATAAAATACGTTATGGGGACCGCCACAGTTAACACATGTGCGTGATTGTGCAGAGCAGTTTGATCGAGTATGACCAGAGATCATAGAGAGCATCTGGCTGTGGAACGGCAATGTCTGGCAGGATGTCCTAAATGGCAACAATTTTTCGCACTCGTTTATAGGTAGATATGGTTGGACAGGGAGGGATTCTCCACCAATGTAAACATTCAAGGGAAGGTCATGTCTACGGAAAGTAATTTTAGCAATGCTAGTGGGATTCTTACGATGACCTCTGGGAGGAATGGAGTAGCACGGTACTGTTATTGCATTATAGTCCGTGAGACAGGCGAGTAAGTCTTCTCCACAATCTGACCAATTTTTGTTATAGATAGGACAGTTTGCTGGGAAGATAGAAACAGATCCGGTGCAATTATTGAGGGTTGGATGAGGTTCTACAGGAATGGGGTTAACAGAGATAGCAGTTAGATTTGATAATACTGTAGCTTGGTTCTCAAAAGTTACTGTGACGAGACGGGAACGATCGGGTCGGCTACAGAAAGAGACTTTGTCTACTTGTTTTTGGAGACATTGCTGGAAGAGAAGGGTGTTTGTTGTCAGAGTAGGGATCATGAAAAATTGGTCCCATTTGGCTGGGCTAAATAGTGTTTAAGACTTTTGTAGAGATGGGGGTAGTGGCAGCACGGGGGTGTGTGGAAGAGGGAGTAGTGTTGAGGGAGGTAGTGTTATGGAGAGGTGGACAATAAGGCTGTAAAGTAGTAATAAGGGAGGATGGGGTAGTTAATGAAGGTTGTTGGGGTAGAGGTGTTGAAGTTGAGCATGTTGGGAGATTAGAAATGTCTCCTGGGTGTTGACTGTTGATTTGGGTGGATAATGTACAAATAGGTATTGAGGAAGGGGTAGTAGGTGTAGTGTTCGGAGCCATGGTCAAAGGCAGGGAACCAGGAGAGTTTGTATTAGTGGGGGTATTTGATGGAGGGGCAAGCCTCATTGTCCATAGTAATGGTATAACATCTTCACTACTGGCTACGGTAAGCCTGGAGTATGTTGGGGAGAGAAACAGTCCACACCTCAGGGTCCCCTTGAAAGGTAATGGTTAGGCAACTAAAACCGAGGAATACCATGCCCATGGCTCCCTCAGGCCATTCAGGACTGGCACAAAGTCAACCTTATATCATTTCATCATGGAAGTGGATAGTAGAAGGGGTTGGTGAAGGGACGGAAACAAAAGAGTAGGGGGGAAAAAAGCCCATGCAAAATTAGTTGAGTCAAGGGCTGAGTCCCAAGGAAGGGGAGTTCCCCAGCATTGGGTCCCAGTCTCCGCCTCCTAAGCCCCTCCACAACAACGAGTAAGGGATTGCGCGGGATATTGTGATAGAATGGGGTTAGGGGGCAGAGCCCTAGGTAAAAAAAAATTTTGTATAGTAAGGCAGTGCTTGTGGATTTCCAGAATGGTCAATGGTCAAAACAAACAGATGTACCAGTAGACAAATATGAGTTAACAATTTGGATAAGTGGACAGGGATGAAGAAGAGAAGGAAAAGGAAAGAGGGAGAAAAAAAAAAGACCCAACAAAATTAGTTGTAGCAAGAGCTGAGGTCCAAGGCAGTGGTTATCCCTAAATTGGGCTTTAGCCTCAGCCTCCTAAGCCCCCTTAGGGATTGGGCGAGGCAGTTGCAGGTAACTCAAGAGACCTAGGCTGAATAGGATCTTGGGGTTCCTCTCAAAGTGCTTGATAAAGGCCTTCTCTAAATAAACAAATACAAGGTAAAGGGGTATCTTTTCTCACTTTACGTCGCCCTGCAGTGGCCATGTATGCTTCCCAAATATTAAATGATTAATTTGTGTAGTACTAATAAGTCCAAGCATCATTTACACATTTGTACTGTTCATTTGGTTTACAGTGGTCACAAAGTTAGTAAAATATCTTCATCCTTATCTTATACTCATTTCATATCCTACATGATGAACATACTATACATAACCTGCACTGGTAGAGGCAGAATAGTAACATTCATTTTCATCTATGGGTAAGATATGAAATTCCATCACTGAGCACTTTAAAGCAGAAAAACCTGCCTTATTAACGAGAAAAAAAGGATTAACATAAAAACCTTTATATACAATATAAAACTTTTTATTGATGAAAATACACATCCTTCACCACCTGCATCAATGACTAATTACAGCAGAATTAAAAATTTTAAGTATAATTTACAAAGTAACTCACAGGGAAAAATAAACAAAACAAAAAATACAAAAAATGTACTGACCACAAAACTCTAATCTTTTTTTGAATAGCAAACCAGAACATACATCAAAAAAATCTAAAGTAAAAATAGTATCCAGAAGAAAAAATACAATTACACTGGTCAATGGTATTTGTTCTATATATATATATATAAAAAAAATCCTCGTACCCTGAACTCACTATGAGAATTAACATGAATCTTGAAAGTGTGATAATTCAGCATCGGGAGATTTTGGAAAACTACGAATAAAGAAAACGTCAGCATCACAGATGAAAACGGGTGAAATCATCAAAGGCACTTGAGGATACTTTGTGGCTATGCTACCGTTATAAATCTTTATGACAGGATTCTAGTATCATTTGCTGCTCTGTTAATTTACATTAGAAAAATAAAATAAAATAAAATCTGGTAAAACATGCATTATGATAAAAGATTACATTCTATACTCCTGCTTTAATTAAATGCTTTTTTTATGAATGAGTTCACAGCAAATAACGTAGAACTCCTACATCCTATTGGAAAAATATAATAAAATCTGGAGAACCAACATAGCATACATATTAATCTTATTCAGCTCTGCAGGTACTCATGAATAGTACATTTAAAAAGGCACTGAATTATAAAAATATTTTAAATCCCTAAAAATGATGACAACTATTATTTCTATCTGGAACTTGCAGTCTTTCTCAGTCTCAATCAGGCAAGGCTTCAGAATTCAATACAATTTCAATACAAGTTTATAATGCTCCATTCTAAAGAGTAGTTTTTCTAAGGTCTATTTTACACTTGTTTTTAATAATTCTTAGAGTTCGGTGCTTTTCTCTCTTTTCAACATAACTGCTTGTGAAGGAAACCCGCAAAGGACAAACACCCGAAATTCCCCATTTTTGCTTTACAACTGCCATGACTGAGGCTTGAGTGAACAATTCAATAGTATAACATTCCATATTTAACTAGTCTGTTCTGCATACCCAGCATATAATTTTCTTTCCCCTTGGTCTTAATGAGAATCTACGGTAGTTGGTGATCATCAAAATAATTAAAATATTAAAAAAAAAAGAGAATAAAATAAGTATGAAAAAAAACGGATGACCAGACAAGAACCTGCTGGAACACTCACCATCTGTACAGTTTACACAAATTCTTTCCTTACATTCTTAGTGATTTCTCGCATCCCCTCAAGAGTAAACAAGTACACACTAGATTATTTTCATGAATGGTGTTTAATTAGCCAAATAGAACACCATTAGCAATACATCTACTCCCTACAGATAGAACACAAGCTACTATAGGGTACAGTAATTTGTGCATTGTTTACGACCACAGGGATGCAGCAAAACCACAAAGTGTAAGGAGACGTTTTGTGGGAAATGTTCATCCTATCACAGTATGTATGGTGAGCTTTGAGTAAAAGACAATAATGCCCAGAGTACTTTTCGGCATTGCTTTGTACTCAATAGCAATTTGGAACTTGTTTTATCTTTACCATGAATTACGTGTACTGATACACATTTAGGCATTGTTTAAAATCTATCTTTTCTTCACCATTTGAACTCACATAAAACACTAATATTCTAACTGTTCCAATGCTAATCAGTACTATAAAGTATATCATCCTTAATATATTATCTCATAATAAAAGCAAATTGCTTTGCATTTAATCTCACATTATTCATTTTGTAAAACATTAAGTATGCATATTAAGTTCATCATTACTATCCCACAATTAAAATTACTATTTAAACAAAACCAATAACAGAATTTTCCGGACAAAAACATTGCCTAACCATAAAACAAATTTACCATCAAAACCCACATAAATTGATCATACTTTGTCATACAAAATTTTTCAGTAAAATATGATATTCCAAAAGCATTAACTGACAAACTATTGATCTTTATATTGCTTTAACAACAATGCCTTATAGTTCTTATAAATTCACTCTTAGGTGAACCTTTATGTCTTTTAAATTTCTAAATTACTATGTTATAAGTACTAAGAAAAAGAATGAGAGAACAAAATAAAAAAATTCAAATCACAATAAAGGTTTTGTTTTTTTTGTTTGTTTTTTTCTAAACTTTTTTTTTAAACCTCTCTCCAATTAAAATTTGCAAAAAAAGAAGCCTAACTATATCTCGTCCTCGCTCGTAAGATCATGGAAAGTTATTTTTGTTAGCAGGTCGTCCGCATCTCCCTTTGGCACGGGCGCGTATGCAGTGCCACCATTACTTGCAGACTTGGCACCAGCCCCTGGACTAAGGGAAGGCACTCCAACAACAGGGTACGACCTCCTTGATGCATTCTTGGCTCGCAGAACCAGCACCGCAAGAATCAGCACCAATATGAGCAGGCACAGGAGGATACCCAGCAGGAACTTGTACCAGGACTGTAGGCTTTCATAGGCATCATGGAGGGTGCTTGGGTGACAGTAATTCTGACCCTGAAGAGAAGAAAAAATACAGTCAAACACAAGGATAAAAACCAAACTGGTTACTCAATGTCACAACTGTGCTGTTTATTGTTGTTTTGTGTATGAGAAGCAAATGGGGGATGTATGTGTTTATTAATTCTGTAAGATGTATATACTGTATGGAAATAACTACAACTGATATAACAGACCAAGTCTTTTTAATTTGGTATTTTCATACAAGAGTTGAAATTTGTATACCTCAAAAAGGAAGAATAACAAATGACTATACAAAATATCATGCACAGTGTCACATGCAAACCTATACACAACATGACATGATTCACAGGTAACAGCATACCTCATAAGCAGTGTAGAGCACAGCATCCCCCCAGCAACCTGAGCAATCGTAATCCTGTGGCCCCGAACAACTGCGGCAAGAGTAGTGACAGGGCCTGCATGTAGGGGGCCCCGTGGCTCCCAGCCTTTCAGGGAACCAGCCATAGTAGTGCTCTGGACAAGAGGCTACACACACACCTTCATGCAGAAGATGGTTCTTCTCGCATTCTGTAAATGTAGGTGGAACTGTCAGTGTCTGGGCAGTTTCCAAGGTTTTAAATGCTATGCTGCTAGATATTCATTTGTCATGAGAGTTATTTTATCTTTCACATTTCATGTTAATAAGCTTTATATTGCATTGGACAAGTTTAAATTGTCCATGCAGACATCCATTTATTTTGACAAGATGTCAGTGTCTGGGCAGTTTCCAAGGTTTTAATGCTGCTAGATATTCATTTGTCATGAGAGTTATTTTATCTTTCACATTTCATGTTAATAAGCTTTATATTGCATTGGACAAGTTTAAATTGTCATGCAGACATCCATTTATTTTTGACAAGAAAAAAAATACCACAATTTAATTTCAGTTTATAACAAAGTAAAAAATCAATAATCACTATGGTTTGAGGAAACTTTGTTCTAAAAATACAAAATATCATGCACAGTGTCACATGCAAACCTATACACAACATGACATGATTCACAGGTAACAGCATACCTCATAAGCAGTGTAGAGCACAGCATCCCCCCAGCAACCTGAGCAATCGTAATCCTGTGGCCCCGAACAACTGCGGCAAGAGTAGTGACAGGGCCTGCATGTAGGGGGCCCCGTGGCTCCCAGCCTTTCAGGGAACCAGCCATAGTAGTGCTCTGGACAAGAGGCTACACACACACCTTCATGCAGAAGATGGTTCTTCTCGCATTCTGTAAATGTAGGTGGAACTGTCAGTGTCTGGGCAGTTTCCAAGGTTTTAAATGCTGCTAGATATTCATTTGTCATGAGAGTTATTTTATCTTTCACATTTCATGTTAATAAGCTTTATATTGCATTGGACAAGTTTAAATTGTCATGCAGACATCCATTTATTTTTGACAAGAAAAAAAATACCACAATTTAATTTCAGTTTATAACAAAGTAAAAAATCAATAATCACTATGGTTTGAGGAAACTTTGTTCTAAAAATACAAAATATCATGCACAGTGTCACATGCAAACCTATACACAACATGACATGATTCACAGGTAACAGCATACCTCATAAGCAGTGTAGAGCACAGCATCCCCCCAGCAACCTGAGCAATCGTAATCCTGTGGCCCCGAACAACTGCGGCAAGAGTAGTGACAGGGCCTGCATGTAGGGGGCCCCGTGGCTCCCAGCCTTTCAGGGAACCAGCCATAGTAGTGCTCTGGACAAGAGGCTACACACACACCTTCATGCAGAAGATGGTTCTTCTCGCATTCTGTAAATGTAGGTGGAACTGTCAGTGTCTGGGCAGTTTCCAAGGTTTTAAATGCTGCTAGATATTCATTTGTCATGAGAGTTATTTTATCTTTCACATTTCATGTTAATAAGCTTTATATTGCATTGGACAAGTTTAAATTGTCATGCAGACATCCATTTATTTTTGACAAGAAAAAAAATACCACAATTTAATTTCAGTTTATAACAAAGTAAAAAATCAATAAGAAGGTCTCTATGCAATATATAACGTGTCTTTTTATCCTTTTCCTTAATGTATAATTAGTCTGTTTAGATGCATGGCTGATTAAACAACTACTCCTTTTAAGCTTTAATTAGTTTTGGTTGTTCAAAAGGGATGGTTAGATTTTACTTGGTGAGGATTGGTTTAATTTATCTCTTTTATTTTAGTCTGGCAATCTTAAAAAAGGTTAATCTGCAACAACTCACCTGTACAGTGAGCAGGCGAGTGTTGCCAGCGAGGCCCCACACCAACACGCACACCGACAGCCAACACCACCACACAGCTGCAGTCTTGCTTACCCAACTCCATTCCACCTCCAATACCCCAGCCTTTATACCCTCCTGCGGCCGCCACTTGCCACAAAGACAACCGACGGCAGCAAAGGTAGGCGAGAGACTTGTGGTGTTTGAGTGGTGGCAGCTCAAAAAGCAGCAATAGGAGTTTTGAGCAACAATGGGATGGGGAAGAAAGAAAATGGAGGGGAAGGGAGTGGGAGGAGAGACTCAAAAGATGTAATGTAAAAGATAATGAAAAGAATTTTGCAGGCTGTTAAATTTAAAAGAAAAAAGGGGCAACAAAGAATGCCATAGGAGGAGATGGATTTTTTTTTTTTTTTTTTTTTAATAGAGTGAGTGTGAATATATATTAAAGATGAAGAGAGAAACAAAGCTTTAGTATGTAGATTATGTTAGGAGACTTTCTAGGCTGTGTGAGATGCATGTGGAAATGAATTCTAGGGAGACAAAAGGAAAGATAAAACATAAAGGAAACAACTTCAGGAAAAAAAAGACAGGACAAAGAATGATTAGAGATTATAGCACATACACTCATCTGTTGAGAATAAACATCACATAAATCCTGATGTGCAAAATGTTGAATTTCATTAGTAAAACAAATAATAAACAAGATAAAACATCATGAACAAGTTGATTCCATTTGACTAAATCTTAACATAACCTGAAACAAGTTTAAACAATGACGTTCCTCCCTGATTACAGATTTTCAGTTTCCCATGGAACAAGGACTCCATCAGCTGTCTCACAAAGTCTTTCCTATTGTCTAATTACTATCTTTATCACCTGGTTCCCCAAAGGAATATAGTAACAAGTATCCAAACTTATGTTAAATATTATGATTTTCAAACTGAGAGAAATACAGTAACTTTAATAGCATAAATCAAAATTGCATGCTTGGGAAAAAAAAAAAAAAATTTAAATGTTAAAAGAAAAAAAGGGGAAATAAATATTAAACTGCAATAACCCATAAATAAGGTCGCAACAAATACATAAAGAGCCCCCAGGAAGCGTGCAAAAGCAAAAAAAAATGTGATAAATTATATTAGTCAGCCAAGCAGAACAACAGTACATCCTCATCCACAGTTCTAGGCCTGCTTTCCAAGTCAGATGTCTTAGTGTGACATTCAGGTAAATTAATTAACAACAACAACAACAACAATATATGTAAATATATATATATATATATATATATATATATATATATATATATATATATATATATATAATATATATAAATACATATAAATACATATACATATATATATATATGTATACATGTGTGTGTACATATATGTATACATGTGTATACATAAATGTATATATATGTGAATATATATGTATATATTCACATACATGTATATATATACATTCTCTCTCTCTCTCTCTCTCTCTCTCTCTCTCTCCATATATATATATATATATATATATATATATATATATATATATATATATATATATATATATATATATATATATATATATATATATATATATACATACATACATACATACATACATACATATGTATGTATGCTTATATCTATACCCATCTATATCTCTCTAACTCTATACCTATCTATATATCTCTATCTATAGATATACCTATATATCTATCTATATATCTATACATATATATCCATATATCTATATATCTGTCTATAATTCTATACATTATTTATCTATTTATATCTATATCTATATATACATACATATATACATCTATTTATATATATACACATCTACACACACACACACACATATATATAATATCTCTGCATATCTATACCTATATCTACCTGTATCTATCTATATAAAATATCTATCAATATCTATTCATATCTATAGCTATACATAATTATACATATATATCTATACATATCTATATATAAATACACACACATCTATACACACATACACATGTATATACACACATACACATGTATATACACACATACACATGTATATACACACATACACATGTATATACACACATACACATGTATATACACACATACACATGTATATACACACATACACATGTATATACACACATACACATGTATATACACACACACACACATATATATATACATACATACATATCTATTTATAAAAAAAAATCTCTATAGAAAAAAAATATATATATATGATTTCTTTTCTCCTTTTCTTTACGATTACAAAAGGCTTAGAACTGTGGAAATGAAGTCAATCTGAAGACAATAGGCAAAAGAAAACTTAGCTCTGCTCTGCTACAAGTAACTTACGGAGGAGAATCTCCCTCTTCTTCTTAGTACCCACGTCTGTATCAATTAGAAAAGGTTGCGAACATTCTGAAACATGCAGAAATCTCATACAGAGTTAACCATCCCTGGATAATAATGCTGCTGCTCTGAATCAATGACAGTATGTACAAACAAGTATTTTAGTTTCAGCACAGAACCTCATGCATGCCTACGTTAGGACAGCCCCGTTTAGAATCCTCCATCGGTTGGCATTAATCCTTAGCCCCTTTTTTTAATCCTTTGCTCTTGATTTTAAGTTAAGAGTTTGTACTATTTGGGTCTAGCTGTTAAGGGATGGTAAACCTGCTGCATACCTACTTTAAGTATATATTTCTCAATTATAAGAAAATAAATGGTCATATCAAATGAATGCGGTTTCATGCAAATTCATGCCTGGCAAATTAAATAAAAAAGGAAAAAAAAAAAAAAAAGTGTGTCTCTAAATACAAGCTCCATTGAAGGACTGACATCATATAATACAGTAGTGACTGTTTTACTTGAAACAATTGTTTGTTTAAGATGCAGTAATCTACCAACTTTCAGTATGAAATACACCAGCTGAATTTCTTCTCAACTAATTCAGCAAAAAAAAAGAAAAAAAAAATCTGTCTAAATTTGAGCAATCTGAACAACACAAAACATCTGTAATCAAAAACACACTTTTCTATTCATGAGCTAAATAACACCAGCCATAAAACCAAAAATTGAATGAGAGTGACGGAAAATTAAAAACTTGCCTGTAGAGCATGTTATCTCAAACCATGCTAATTCTTTCAGTCAAGTGTTTCGTCTTGAATTTAAAGCTTTTGATTAACTATAGAGAAAGGGAGTGAGCCTTCATACTCATTCTTTTTTTGGAGGGGTATGTTTTATTATTTGCTATTGAGACCATCTTGTGTCGAGAATTTTAATAATCATAAAACAATCAATTACTGACTGCATTTTAAACTTTTCTTCTGAAAGAATACTACAATTATCTGATACTGAAGGTATACTCAAAAAATCATTTGATTAAAAAAAAAATGGAGGCTGACACTTGACTGAAACTGCAGCATGCACTACAAAAAGGGGAAAAAAAAAACAAACCGGAGCACAAAACTTGTAAATCAACATACATGTTCCCTCCACCTTGAAATGTTTGCGTAGTATAAAAAGCATTTATAAAGTTACCTTGTTTCTCCCTAACTAATGTATTGCCATATATTATGTATAAAAAAAAAAAAAACATGGAAAACCTCTCATCCCAAAAAGATATCTTAGAATGGCATTCCAAAATACATACGCTGTTTACAAAAAGAACCATTTAAGATGTTAGCCATTCATTTAAGGGAAGACATTCTATTTTTTTAACATTTTCCCCATCCTACTGCAAGATGCACTGCAACATAGGAGGAGGACAGCATGCTTTATGCTTCTGGGAATCATCAAACTTATTTCAAAAGTCTGTACGAGTGGCACACAAACCTTGAGATGTCATAAAAGTTTTGTTCGTAAGCTTCACTCCTACTAATGCCCGTAAAGCTTTTAACTGACTAATTACAGATTTCAGCTACTTAAGGCTGAATCAAGGCTGAATTCTATGCTTTGATTATTGTTTTAAGAAAGAGATGAAGACTTCTCAGGTATGTAAATGTCAGTGAGATTTTGAATGGCTTCTTGAGAGTTTATGATTTCTTCTGTAATAATTTGAGTTTTTTCTCATATTTTCCAAAGTGGCAGACATCACCATAATGAAAAAAGTGTCACAAAAAATATATATTAGCAATCTATCAGGCCACTGCAATGTAAACACATTTCCTTATACATTAAGCAAGGAAATAATGTGGTTTGACCTGATTACTATAAATGCTGCTTGCACAAATAAGGGTTATTTCTTATATCATTTCAATGAGATAAACATATTCCTTGAAAATCACTTTCATGATAAAGTTGGTTTCATTATAAAACCTGAATACTAAGACAAGAAACAAGTTCATGGTATCTAATAATCAGTTAAAAAGATCTTAATTAGTATAAACTACCAAAGTTAAAAAAGACATGGATAAAAAAATCTTTTTATTTAAGTCACTTGTGACCTCTTTACAAAGACAAACATACGATATGTGACAGAGAACACTAAACTTCTCCACAACCATTTCCCTCAAAAAACTTGTAATATATAAAAAGATTTGCAGCTTTAAAACACCAACACAGAAAGTTCCTTAATTGTAAATACACACACCTCATAAAAAAATCCTTCAACCAGATTCTATCAAGCATTCACAATTGAGCTCAGTATTACATAACAAAGAAAACAAGTGAACAGGCAGGCAGGCTGACAGGTACTTAATATAAAAGAACTTCAGCATAATACAGAGTCATTCAAGCTGAAGCCACACACTGTCACTAAGCTTACTAAAGAATACTTCAATTCACTTTTTTTCCATTTTCTCTTTCAATTTCAGTCAAGTTTACAAGACGAATTGGAGACTTGCAAACAGGAAAACTCACCAATTTTAATACTAAGGAGAAAATACTTGCACCATCCTATAGGTAAGACATTCGAATCCCTTGGCCAATGTGAGGATCATCTTTGATTCTAGATGAGAATACTCCACTCACTCACTCACTCACTCACTCACTCACTCACTCACTCACTCACTCACTCACTCACTCACTCACTCACTCACTCACTCACTCACTCACTCACTCACTCACTCACTCACTCACAACACAAAAAATATTACTCACATGCAAAAGAAAATAACATCATAAAATCAAATAATCCAAAATATAAATTTTCTGCCTCTTTGGACCCTACATTTAAGAATAAATGTGAAGGAACTCTGCTCACTGGAATTCATAAAAAAGGTCTTCCTTCTACTAACAACCAAACACACATCAAACAGAAGAAACAAAGAAATTTAACAAATGAAAGGAACTCAAAGTAAAAAAACTCTTGTCTTTTCTTTCTTCACATTCTGGACTCGGGTTTTAACACAGAATCACAGTACAATTAATGACAGCACACAAAAATACTTCATAAAGACCAAAGAATATATATAAAGAAGGGAATCGGAAGAACACTGCACATCAGCTTTTCCCAAAATTATATGGACACGACCCTAACTTTTTTTTTTTTTTTTTTTTTTTTTTTTTTTTTGGGGGGGGGGGTCTGGTAGGCCTTAGGGGGTAGAATTAAATTTCTCTCTTCATTCAGTTTAACAAAAAAAAAATAATAATAATAATAAATTTTACAACAAACTAAAATTCAAAGAAAACCTTTCCTATTTCCGACGTAGCATGCTTCATATTCTATTTTATGTTTATTTTTCTTTTACTTTTTTCTTTTTATTTCTAACAATCCCACAGACCACGGGAAATGAGGGTCGCAACCCATGTTTTGAGAACCGCTGCTGTACTCTACTGATAAGACTAATTGACCCCTGCAAGTTTGATGTGACAAAACAATTCCAAAATGGTCTCTAGAAAAAGGAACATGACATAGTACTTAGAACTGAAATATAATCAGCTAAAAGAAATGCAGTAAGAAGATTCATTTCTAACATATGAAAGATTGCAAAAAAAAACAATGAACGATAAAAACAGTGGTATACACCTAAATACGATTAACCCTAACTTATTTATACATCGTGGTTACTAAAGCATCATCAAAAACTAGAAAACAAAGACAAAATATATAGTCCATGGCAACAAACGTGTATCGCCTTGCTAATGATATCAAGTAACCAAGAACATCAAAAAACAGTAAGAAAAGAAAAAAATAATAATAATAATAATGCCTCATACATAAGAACCAACAAAAGGAAATAGAAGAAAAGTGAAAAAAAAAAAAAAAAGGAAAGAAAACATCTAAAACATTTGGCAACGTTCTTTGAACTCTTACACATTATCAAGAAATAAATAAAAAATGTGACAACTCAAAGAAGATTCTGACGATACCACTACATAATGGTGAGAATGGGAAAGGAGAGAAAATGCCGACCCTCTTGTCTTTCACTGCAATGCCGTACTTAAAAATCGTCGGATTCTTCGGATCCTTGCAAAATGACTGCCTCGGGCTTTTAATGTGCTTCTTCAATACCATATTTGGGAGCACTTTCTGAAGGGAATTCTACACTGCGAAAGAAAGCAATATGGAACTCATTCTGTTGCAATGTCTTATTGCTTGAGGAACTATGTTACAGTAACTTTATATAGTATATGTATATTGGTTGGCAGGTTCGTAGAAAGCTTAGGTGGGGTAGGTAGGGTGACGGTGTAGGTAGGGTGACGGGGTAGGTAGGGTGACGGGGTAGGTAGGGTGACGGGGTAGGTAGGGTGACGGGGTAGGTAGGGTGACGGGGTAGGTAGGGTGACGGGGTAGGTAGGGTGACGGGGTAGGTAGGGTAATAAGGTAGATAGGAAGAAAAGAAGGACAGTAAGTTAGCTAGGAAGGAAAGGTAAGGTATGGTGAAGAAGGTAGGCAGGTAAGGTAAAGATAGAAGTTAGGCAAGGTAAAAAAGGTAAGGAAGGAAGGAAGGAAAATAAATAAGGTAAGGAAAATAGGTAAAGTAATGCAAAGTAAGGTAAGATAGGGAAGGTAAAGGAAGAAAAGAATGGTAAGGTAAGTGAGGATGGTAAGAAGGAAGGTAAGTAGGAAAGTAGGAAGGAAGGTAGTAGGGAGGCAAGTTAAGTTAGGGTAAGGTAGGGTAAGGTAAGGTAGAGAGGGTTGTGTGTGCATATGCCTGTGTGTGCATGTGTGCGCTCACACAAGTGTAAATGAGTGTATGTATGTGTGTAGGAGCACAAGTTTGTGACTGCAGGTGTAACATGGAAAGCAACTGTGGAGGAGTGCGTGTAAGTATGAGCGCGCGTGTAGTATCGCACATGATCATACACAAGTTCAAGTGCATATCTGAAATCATATACTGTCCAAGTGAAAAGCTTATACTAAAAATGAGAGTATTATGTATTCTGGAACTTCCTTCAGTCACCTTTGAAACATGCTTCATGGTAGTCATGTAACAAGCATTTTAAATCATTGCACCTTAAAGTATGGCAAAATCTGGAGGCTGTTGAAGTAAAGTATAGGAATAAAAACAAAAGTGCTTCCATACTAAACATATAATAACATAATATAAACCTTTATGAGGTAACCTTGCATTAACACTAAACACACTCATCATTAACACAGCTGATGTGCTCTGGGATTAAACAAGTGCAAAATATCTCAATTCATTATCTATATATACCTAATCCTGTAGAATCATGCAAACTTACATCCTAGTCACTGTCAAAAAACATAACAATCATTAACCATATGTGATTCAAGATACGTCACCAGCTGGCAGCGGTAACAAGATCAAAAACCTTCGTTCTGTTCCATTCTTAAGTACCACATTAAGATTACATGAACACTTCAACATACAGTACATACAACATATCCAGCACCTGCCTGCACATGCGCACATGGTATCTTTCTTCACATCCTCTGGCAAGTAAAGATCAGAAATGGCTATCGTGAAACCCGCATTATTAACTCTACCTCTTGTGTTAGAACTCGTATAAAAACACACTATTTCATCCCCCTCTCGTATCACAATGCATTAGGATATATGCATGCAATTATTCAAGACTGATATTGCCAAATGACTTCTTCCTTTACTCCCTGACTATTTACAGGAAATTAAAATAAATATCTTAAATCCATTTGTTAATCCTACTATCAACTGTACAATCAAAAAAAAATTTACACCTTTTAAATCTGCTTGAAATGATCAATACATTTTTGGATAAAATGATGAACTCATTCTCCCTGTGATTAATATCAATTTACTCTATTACTCTGATTCTGAGAAATAAATAAGCCCCACTCATGAAGATTACAATTAGTACTTAATATCTGGAATGTTCTTTATTTTTGTTTTTTTGCTTTTTCAAAAGTTTAGTACAGCTTTTTTAGCAATCCATATCCTTTAAAACAATAAATGCATTTAAAAACAGACTGAGACAAAACATCATATAGATACATCTTGTAGTTATACTTCTATCATATTGCAATAAATAAAAAGTGCATTTGCTATTTCACAAATATAAAATTAGATGTCTATTATCAACAAAAGAATAGTGTGAACCTTCCTACAACTAGATAAATAGCTATTAATCTTTTAAATAATGATGGACAATTTACATTAAAATCAGAATCAATATTGCACCAAAAATGACAAAATCCTTCCATTCTAACTTGTTTTTTAAGAAATTCCGAAGAAAAAGTAACAAAACATAAAAGCGTCTGCATTAAAAACAATTCTTTTTCCTTTTCTATTCACTCTGAGTCTCACACAATGAATATGACAAAATAATTATTCATATTTCCTTTTACTTTCTTTTTCCTCCTCCTTCCCCCTTTCCCCCTAAGAAGGATTTTCAAACTTGGCATCACCTGATGAGCACCATTTCTCAATAAAAAAAAAATAATTAAATAAAAAAAGAATAAAGAAAAACAGATGAAGGAAAAAGATGCACATCACATATAGGACACCACATTCATACTTATTTACATAGTTGTGAGAGGTGGTGATGCACAGCAAGTTCTACAGAGCTCACTGCAAAGTGTTTATTTCATTCCTTTTTTTAGTAAAAGAGAGACTGCAGTCAATCAACATTCACTATTTACAACTCACCAGTCATCGACCTAGAACACACGCATCGAAAGATATAGTCTTATATCAAGGTCACCCATGATTCTTTAAAAAATGATAAAAGTACATCTGTTGGTGACAGTAGAACACTTTTTACATCTGGGCAATGAAATTTTGTCCCCTCATACCATAATAGAGAGAACATTACTCATAAAAGTACTAGGTAGCAAAGCCAACCAGTTTAACCATAATACGAAAAAAAGTCATCTTTGGTTACAAGTGAGGTAAGAAAACTCGTACTCAGGTCCACCCATGCAAATATTTATGTATAAATAAAGTAAAGAGCAAAAAAAAAACTAATAAATAATAATAATAATAATAATAATAATAATAATAATAATAATAATAATAATAATAATAACAATAATAATGATAATAATAATATATTGATGACATTATAACTGATAATAAATTAAGTAAAGAAAATTCACCAAAGCATAGACAAAAAACAAATATAAATGAAATTACCTATGTGCTACACACTTAGGCCTTCCTATAAACAGAAAAGATGAGGATGAAAAAAAAAAAAAAAAAAAAAAAAAAAAAAAAAAAAAAAAAAAAAAAAAAAAATCTAGAAAAGGAAATGAGAGGCTATCTTTTCATCAGTCGAACTTAACCTTACATAAAGCAATAAAAAAAAGGCGTTCATCAAAAATAATTCCTTAACCTACACAAACTGAACAACAGTAACTTCCTTCCTTAATGAACCTGGACTCAATTTTACTGACACCAAGAACTGGTATGTTTATATTGTCAACTTTAAATCTGTCATTCCACAAAAGTCCTCAGACTTGTAACAGCCAACATGCAGCTGGAGCCATCGTGAGTACAAAATATATGTAATGAGCATAATACAAGATCTGTGAAAGTCTTATAGTTTCCATCAAACTATTGCCATGCACACGCAAAAATAATACTAATGGTCTCTCTTAAAGGAAATGTGCAATAGTTTCACACACACTTAATGGCACTGGTATAAAATACTTCCACATTCTTGAAGGAGTAATAAAATCATTTCATCTTACAGCTACGAATATCCATGATACGAGGAAAATAGTGATAACGAGGAAAATAGTGATAAAGGAGTAATAACTGAAAGTCCTCGTGATATAAGAATAAAAACATTGAGTAATTGACAATATCATCAATAATACTAATAAATAAAAGTGGCAAATAAGATAATATTACTAACAATAACATGTATATAATGACAGTAGGCACCTAAAACGTAACTCGTGGAGAATTTACCAGAGTTATCAAGCCACGAAAAACATCACAAAATTTTCTTTTCCAGAGGTCCCTGGCCAACACCTGCTACCTGAGCCACTGCTTCTGACAACTAGCTAGGGAAAACAGGTTATTTCATTCTAATTTTAGCCCCTTCTCCGAACATTTTATAAGCAAGATGTCTATGAAACTTTTTTTCCTTTTTTTTTTTCTTTTTTTTTGTATATCCCTTGGTGGAAGACTTGCCATAAATCCTAAGAAAGGATTTTCGCTCGCCCATCATGAGACTTAGATCCAACCTCTTTTTTTTTCTAATTCTTCGGGCCTTCTGCAACCTTCCATCACATACACATGCTTAAAAATCAACTGGGATTCTCGTATGACAACTAGAAAACAACTGAACCAAAAATAGATGAATGAAAATGTGTACAATAAGAACACAAACAGAAAGTCTAACCCAAAAAAATTTAACGGGGGCTAAAAATCTCCCCCTCAAATAACTGGTGGCTAAAACTCTGGCTCCAACACTAAAGCTCAACACTCACAAGGCTATCTAGCCCAAGACTACAGAGGCAGCTTCAAGATATATATATATCTAAAGTTTGTAGAGTAAAAATGAGTATAAAATGCCAAAGGCACTCTATGAAACAATTCTCAAGGGCAGATGAGAAGTCTGAGCTTCCATTTTTTTTAAAAGCTTTTTTTTAGCTTTCAAACATCTATACATCAAAAGAGCTGGAGGGTTTTTTGATTTAGCATTTTTTTTTTTTAGGTTTTTAGTTTTTTTTTTTCCCTTTAGTTTCAGTCTGTGAACTCTGCTGAAAATTATAATTAATAAACCCTGGAATTATCTGGTCAATGTTGTATCAGTAGACTGACCTCCAACACCATCTCGACCCTTGGCTTCAGAAGCTTCAGGCTGTGGATATGGCCATCACTCTACTGACCTGCGCCTGAAGGGCTTTCTTCCACTTTACCCTAAGACAAGGGACTCATCATCCTCAAGTGTAAATCCATTCATTATGTTGTACAAATAAAAAGACTAAAAAGCTAAAATCCTTGACACTAACTGCACCTAACTAACAAAGTTGGCTGCTGTAATAAGGCCGGCGATGCACTATCCGCAGCCCCCACCTCCTGCAGGGCGTCACACTTAGATTCACTAACAAGTGTTCCTGCGCTTCCCGAGGCCTCTCCCCGCGGCCTCCCGCCATGGGGGAACTCGGGCCGCCCCCCCGCGCACAGCACTTTCCGCGGGTTAGGCTGACCCACAAGGATACCACCCACCACCAAGTGCACCACCACCACCACAAGGCACAAACCTATGCAGGCCCCAGCGGCGTCCACGCGGCTGCAGCCCGGTGGCAGCGCCTTCTGGATGGCCGACAGCTGTAGCGTTTGGGGCACTGGAGTCGGCGAGGCTGCCGCAGCCGACGAGTGGCCCACGCCCATGCTGTCAGGGTCCCGAGTCTCCGTCTTGCCTTCGGTGGTGTCGCTGGAGTGGTGCACGGCCGGGTCGGAGGCGTGGGACTCGTCGGGGGACTGCGTGTCCTGCTGCGGGGACACCGGCTGCCCGGGCTCCGTGTCCGTGCCGTGCAGAATCAGGCTCCATTCCTTCACCTCAGCTTTGTCTGCCAAAAACAAGATCCATTAGTCTAATGGCACTTTCTTGTTGCACTGCAAGGGAAACAGGAAAATAATTATTGCATGCTTCTTCATCTCCCTACTTCCTGTGCTCCCTCCCTCCAGTAACTCCTCTATGTATATCAATGATCCGCTTTTCACCCTAACCAGTATCTGAATCACTGAAAAAAAACATAATAAAATAGTAATGCAACTCATAGAATATTATAGGTTAAAGAATAAAATTTATCCAAATCATAAATATTTATATCCCTAAAAAAGAAAATTAAAAAAAATAATAAAAATACATGCACAAGCATCGACCATAATGCACAGGTACTAAGAGCACACTGAATAAAATAGGAAATAAAAAATAAAATGGCAAAAGGAAAGACTATACAGCATGTTCCTTAGATTACGGAATAACAATAAAAAACAAAAAGGATAAAAAGACATCAGCCACATTCATATACTGCAATTCTTCTTCTTGTACATAATCCCCCATATACAAAAGCAGACCATAACAAAGGAAATTAACAAAAAGACGTCATGCCTTCCTCTCTAAGGGAACTCTGGCGCTCATGCAACGCCCGCTTATCTTCTTGGACCTTCACATAATGCCATACTTGCCCTAAAGCACAGAGGTTACAGCAGTCATCCTCATTACAGCAATTCTTACTACAGCTTTTATTTTCAACTAGCTGCTGCTCAGTACTTATCTTCAGATTCAGAGATGAAGTCATTATTCTTTACTACTGCGCGCTTCTTTGGCAACAATCCGTGGGGAATTTATCCTAAGACACTCACAAAAAAAAAAAAAAATAATAAAAATACATGCACAAGCATCGACCATAATGCACAGGTACTAAGAGCACACTGAATAAAATAGGAAATAAAAAATAAAATGGCAAAAGGAAAGACTATACAGCATGTTCCTTAGATTACGGAATAACAATAAAAAACAAAAAGGATAAAAAGACATCAGCCACATTCATATACTGCAATTCTTCTTCTTGTACATAATCCCCCATATACAAAAGCAGACCATAACAAAGGAAATTAACAAAAAGACGTCATGCCTCCTCTCTAAGGGAACTCTGGCGCTCATGCAACGCCCGCTTATCTTCTTGGACCTTCACATAATGCCATACTTGCCCTAAAGCACAGAGGTTACAGCAGTCATCCTCATTACAGCAATTCTTACTACAGCTTTTATTTTCAACTAGCTGCTGCTCAGTACTTATCTTCAGATTCAGAGATGAAGTCATTATTCTTTACTACTGCGCGCTTCTTTGGCAACAATCCGTGGGGAATTTATCCTAAGACACTCACAAAAAAAAAAAAAAATGAAAGCAGACCTTATTCTAGTGATGAAACATGCATCTGGTTTATTTCCGAAGCAACAGTTCTGGATTTCGACAGCGGCGTTACACATCTTTAGAAAGCCTACAAGGATGGCTACGCTGGCGGAAGAATGGAAGATGGTGTACACGAGAGAAAACGGGGCCTGATGTCCCCTTTTTGGATATCAGTAACCACAGAGTCTATTAGTTAAAGAGGTGTGAATATTTAACAACTTTTTTTTTTTAATAACAAAAAAGTTTCGCCATACATTGCCACAAATATACTATTAAAGCGTCTGAAATGTCTCATGCTTCTCTCCAGGATGACTTAGATGCACCACCATTCTAGACGCAAATGTATTATTCAACTTCGCCATGCAGTAGCCCTTCACTAAACAAACGCTCATGTTCCCAGTTTCAAAATTTATAAAAAAAATACCTATTTACCTCTCTATTACAGAATAAAAATGAACAACAAACAAATAAACAAACACATCGAACGAGCCTTCAAAATGGCCTTTCCTTTCAATCGTCTTTAGTTCAACATTTACACGAAACCATGCTCCAGGAACAGCAGCAGCAGCAACAGTAACAACAAAAGAATTTTTTTCTGGCTGTGAAATCAACACGGAGTCTCCACATAAAGCATGCAACAACTGCCATTTAGAGCTACCATTCGCATGCTGATTACGAGGGTGCTGCTACCGAGGGAAGATCGGGGAATCCCCTTCTATTTACCCTTGTGATGGGAGCTGTCGCGGTGGTTGGGCGGGCGAATGGGGGCAGGATGTGACTCGTAGTGTGGAGGTTGTGGGGGTAAAGAGTATGTGGGTTTTTTAGGCTGGTAGGTGTGCCATGGTCTGGGTGTGGTACCAGGTGTGGTAGATGTGGTAGTCGTGGTAGGAGGAGTGGTCGACGGGTGAGGAGGAGGAGGACGGGAGATGGCCGGGGCGGTCTCCCTTCCTCCCCCGACCCCCCCACCACGGTCTCTGCGCCCCCAGCGTGCCTGCCACTTGTCTGGGTTTATTCTGGTGCCATAAAAGATGAGTGTCCAGCGCTCCAGTAGGGTGGCTCCTAGAAGGCAGCAGCAGGAACAGAAGGGTCAGCAGAGGCAGCAGCAGGCAGGAAGGGGGCAGTGCACTTTAGCTACACTATCAAGGAGGTCTGCCTCTCCCCGGGTGCGCACAGAGTAGAAACCTTAGCCCGTGAAACCCACTGTAAATACAATACTACTACCCCCACCACCAAAGCACTGGTTCAAGTTCTCTAACGCTATAGGGCTCACACAAAAGAGAATTATCCAACAGTGTATTTTGACGGGAAAAGTTGAGGTAGCCATTACCCTGGTGGAACCTATGATTCTTATTATGAAAAGCAGGGAGAGTAACCACTAAAAAAATATAAAAAATTCTAAGTATAATACATACTGGACCCTGTTAAAAAAAAGATCTACACTTTGGTGCAAAAATCTTAAAAAAACAACCAAAAATCATAAATGAAATGTTGCAAATTTCCATCACCAGAATTCTCAATCAAACTCTCAAGAGACAGAGAGAAAGAGAGAGAGAAAAAAAACATGCAGTTAGATTCAGGCATCGTATTATAGACTTCATTTTAGTTTATCCTTAGCATATAAATTGGAAAACATTGGCCACACAAAAGTAAAAAATCCTTACAAACCACCATGCATTTTTTTTCCCTCTTAACTCTCATAGAAATCTAAATCTGGCAGTGTTATTTATAACCACTTTTATTGTGCATCATTAAAAAAAATACCCTTTTCCTTCTTCAACATAAATAAACAAACAAAACCATCACAATAAATCGAATTAGGACCCAACCACCTACCCAAAACTTTCTTTCCCAAAACACGCATCGAAATTTTTCACATTACAAAATGTACAATCAATTTTTTTGAACTATGGCAAGTTAAACGAATCAAAATTTCAGCCTCACTAATCAGATTTCGTCTTTTTCTTTGCTCGGGTATCCATCACATCCCAGGGTAAGAAAATGGCTAATTCTAGAAGGGCCGAGATCATTGGCAATCCCTGTACAGCAATTTCAAACCAAAATTTATGTAGAATTCTTTGTTAGGATTCCTTTCTCCTACATTTGTAGTTGAATATAAAGAGGACAAAAATAATGATAATGGCAATAAAAGCAACAGGGATAATGATAATACTAATAGCAATAAGGATAATAATAACGATAACTTCAACAGTAATAATTATCTATCAATAATAATAGTAATAATAATAGTAATAATAATAATAGTAATAATAATAATAATAATAATAATAATAATAATAATAATAATAATAATGATAATAACGATAATAATAACAATAATAATAACAATAATAATAACAATAATAACAGGATATAAAACAAAATATATAATAGATGAATAATAATAATAATAATAACAGGATATAAAACAAAATATATAATAGATGAATAATAATAATAATAATAACAATAAATAATCAATAAATACTAATAATTAGTAAATAATAATAATGATAATAAAAATAATGCATCCCAGTAAAATCATTTTAAAAAATGTTATCACTAAAAATGCCTGTCCATCCTCATCAAAATCATTCGGAAATATCAAAGACTTTTTTCCGACCAAATATCATCATCAACTTCAAAGCCTCTGGAATTACTGGTCTTTGTTTAGTCAACTCAAAAAACACCAGAAAAAAATCTATTTGTTTCTTGTTAAAAATACGAAAAAGTGAAAATGTTAACGTTAAAAGTAAGTCCTTAATTTACATGATTTTTTTAAAAAGTTAATCATTAACTGTTATTCATATTGTGAATTTATAAAGTATATTTATTTTCCAAGAAAAACGAAATTCAAACAAACAAGCTCTTTGAAATAATCAAACTAACTTGTCTTAAACCAACATAACAAATTTAATTTAAGATAAAACTCACTATCTATAAAAATTGCATCTAAAATACACACTTTTTTATTGTATTTCAGCTCCCTTGAAGTTCTATGAAAGTTGACTTCTGAAAATCCTTTAGTGCAAGTGTTCAAAGAACTAATAATCTCTTTGGGGGGAGAGGAATAAACTAGAAAGTCTCTCCACAATTAACCCATAAACTAACGAAATATAAAATAAAACTACTCGAGTTACTACAGGTCCTTCCCCGCATTCTTACACAACAAAAACTTCAAACCACAATTATTAAAACCAATCGCACCTAATTTCAATACGAATTCTGCACACAAAAGGTCGCGCACACACTCTTTTATAAATACCGAAACCCATATATTTTCTATTCCGTTAAATTATAGATTTATAATCAATACTTTTTTCTTTTCTGTTCTACTTCCTATGCAATTCCCTGCTCACATTCATCCCCCTTCAAACAGTAGCTTGCTCTAATACTAAAAATCAAATTAAACCTCTGCGTGTGTTTGTGTGTCTGTTTATTTGTGTGTGACCCCCCCCCCACCCCCCGTGCGCGTGCATATGGATACGAGTACGAGTACAAGTGAGTGTGTGATTGGGTGTGTGTATGAATCGATTTAGGTGTGCTTTGTGACAGAGTGGCTTTCAGTGTCGTCCTTCGTTTGACTGGCTTTTTTCCCCCATTGTGTTCCAACCCACCGGATACCTCCATACGCATCCAGCCACCTCTCTCGCTTAGCTTCCCGCCGCTTCTAACGTAAGCATATCCCAAACATACCCAAAGATCCATTTCAGCCACCTTCCGCACTTCCACTTTCAACTTCATCCACTACTACTTCCATTTCCCCCCCCACCCACTTCTTCCACACCAACTTCCATTTCTACCACTACACATCCACTCTTCCACATCCAAGTCCACCCCCACTTCGTTCACTTCCACTTCCACTTCCACTTCCACTTCCTCTCGACTTACCTGTGGTGAAGAAGTGTCCGTTGTTGTGGATCTCCAGCTTCCACTTCCCCAGGGGCCGCTCCCCCCACATGTGGACGGTCATGAAAGGCCACGACTGACAATACAAAGGCGTGTCAATTATTTTTTTTTATCATTTAGGAACAATTTAGAAGAAATACGAAATGGCAAATCGATATCTGCTTGGAATGCGGGAAAGAAAAAATCATATTCTTTTCTCTCCATTGCCAGATATCGTACTTCAAATGTATCAATGAGAAAAGTAATCTTTTATCAAATGATTTTTTTTCACTAAAAAATGTAGACATTTTATTCACCATTTGCAAATAAAAAACAAAAAAGTGAAATAAAGTCCCTTCCCTCGAGACCCAAGTCCCCTATCCCTCGAGCCCCCCACCCCCCCCCAGCGACTCACGTGGAAGCCCGTGCGGGAGTTGTCGTGGGGGCGCTGGGCGAGGAGAGTGGACTTGACTCCTGACGGCGACGACAGGTAGATCTCGATGTCACCTCGACGATCAGCTGTCAGCGATACCTAAGGTTGAGGGAAAAGGAAGGATATTTAATCCGGGCGAAGCTTAGGGAAATAAACGGAACGAAAAAAAAAGATCAAAAGAAGAGTTGAGAAAAAAAAATAAAAATGGATTTCAAGCAAAAAACGGGAAACAAAATTATATCACTATAAAAAAATAAAATAAAATAAATAAAAATCATATAAAACGACCGGGAAAAAACCGGCGTTAAAATATTCACTTAATACCAAATATCCCACACAGCATAACTGTAGACCCCCCCCCCAAAAAAAAAAAAAATTAAAAATGGATTTCAAGCAAAAAACGGGAAACAAAATTATACCACAGTAAAAAATAAAATAAAATAAATAAAAATCATATAAAACGACCGGGAAAAAACCGGCGTTAAAATATTCACTTAATACCAAATATCCCACACAGCATAACTGTAGACCCCCCCCCAAAAAAAAAAAAAATTAAAAATGGATTTCAAGCAAAAAACGGGAAACAAAATTATACCACAGTAAAAAATAAAATAAAATAAATAAAAATCATATAAAACGACCGGGAAAAAACCGGCGTTAAAATATTCACTTAATACCAAATATCCCACACAGCATAACTGTAGACCCCCCCCCCCCCCCCCCCCCCCCCCCCCCCCCCCCCCCCCCCCCCCCCCCCCCCCCCCCCCCCCCAGCGACTCACGTGGAAGCCCGTGCGGGAGTTGTCGTGGGGCGCTGGGCGAGGAGAGTGGACTTGACTCCTGACGGCGACGACAGGTAGATCTCGATGTCACCTCGACGATCAGCTGTCAGCGATACCTAAGGTTGAGGGAAAAGGAAGGATATTTTATCCGGGCGAAGCTTAGGGAAATAAACGGAACGAAAAAAAAAGATCAAAAGAAGAGTTGAGAAAAAAAATTAAAAATGGATTTCAAGCAAAAAACGGGAAACAAAATTATACCACAGTAAAAAATAAAATAAAATAAATAAAAATCATATAAAACGACCGGGAAAAAACCGGCGTTAAAATATTCACTTAATACCAAATATCCCACACAGCATAACTGTAGACCCCCCCCCAAAAAAAAAAAAAAAAAAAAAAAAAAAATTAAAAATGGATTTCAAGCAAAAAACGGGAAACAAAATTATACCACAGTAAAAAATAAAATAAAATAAATAAAAATCATATAAAACGACCGGGAAAAAACCGGCGTTAAAATATTCACTTAATACCAAATATCCCACACAGCATAACTGTAGACCCCCCCCCCCCCCCCCCCCCCCCCCCCCCCCCCCCCCCCCCCAGCGACTCACGTGGAAGCCCGTGCGGGAGTTGTCGTGGGGCGCTGGGCGAGGAGAGTGGACTTGACTCCTGACGGCGACGACAGGTAGATCTCGATGTCACCTCGACGATCAGCTGTCAGCGATACCTAAGGTTGAGGGAAAAGGAAGGATATTTTATCCGGGCGAAGCTTAGGGAAATAAACGGAACGAAAAAAAAAGATCAAAAGAAGAGTTGAGAAAAAAAATTAAAAATGGATTTCAAGCAAAAAACGGGAAACAAAATTATACCACAGTAAAAAATAAAATAAAATAAATAAAAATCATATAAAACGACCGGGAAAAAACCGGCGTTAAAATATTCACTTAATACCAAATATCCCACACAGCATAACTGTAGACCCCCCCCCAAAAAAAAAAAAAAAAAAAAAAAACACACACGCACATACATACACGCACACGCACACACACACACACGCACATACATACACACACGCGCGCACACACACACACGCACATACATACACGCACACGCACACACACACACACAAATAAAAGAGAAAAATAAACGCGCTTCTTGTACACATGTACACGACAGTTCCTCCGTCCTGCGCCAGGAACCGACCTGTGCGAGACGTGGCGGCCGACGCCGTTGCTCTGCCAGTCGGGCGCTTCCAGGTTCTCGGGTCGCGCCGTTCGGACCACGATGTGCTGCATGTCGCGCCACGTCAGGTCTCGGTTCACCTGGAAACGAAGCGAATGTCAAGCGCGTTGCCAGACTTTGTCGAGAGGAGATATTAGGGGTAATACATAGATCAGGAGGATGGATGCATAACAGCAGTTGCGGAAAAAATGGTATTGATAAATCTTTTTTTTTCAATACATGAAAAGCAACTCTTCCAACCGCTTAAGAAATGAAAAACAAAATCAAGAACCCAGTACGTTATCTGGAACACCACACATCCATCCAAATAAACAAATAATGAACCGATAACTAGACACGTAGATAATAAATACATAAAAGATAAATAAAGCAAACATCCAAAAGTACACAGTTCAAGAGCCCCTGGCAGTCCCGACCTGCAGGGCCAGCGCGCAGATGGCGGCGGCAAGGGGCGCGGAGGCCGACGTGCCCGTGTGCGACGACGTGCAGGAGTGGTGCAGGTCGGTGGTCACGATCTGCTTCTCCCCGAGCGAGCCGGAGCTGTAGGTCGTCGCCAGGGTGGAGCTGCACGCCTCCGAGTACCACGGGACGCGACCCCTTTCTGTGGAGTGGGCGGGCGGAAGGGCAGGCGGGGAGGGGGGAGAGAGAGAAGACAAGTGGGAGATTGTACGAGTATATATATTTTTTTATAATTATTTTACGTACCTACCTACATTAAGAACGAAACAAAAAAAAATACATTCTTAACCTATTTAATATTCCGAAATGTATCCAAACCGAAATTTAACAAAAAAAAATCAAACCTGTAGCTGACGAAATGCTCAGGGTCCAGATGGAGTTCGTGTAGCCGTCACAGTTGCAGTTGTCTTGATCTCGACCTCCGTTTCCTGAAGCCCACACGAAGATGGACCCCTTGCCACCTCGCCCCTGCCAAAGGAACACAAGTCATGCTGATATATCCCCCAACGTGAGCTTTAAAGAGAGGGGAAATATAGCCCAGCATACAAATAAAAAAAAAAGTGAAAACCTATTCCTCAAACTCAAAAACGATTCCAGCATTTGAAAAAAAAAAATAAATAAAATAAACATTCCTCAAAAAAAAAAAATAATAATAATAATAAAGCCTCCTACAGACATAAACAGAAACAACAGACAAACCAATTATTCCTCCAACTTAATATTACTTAAATTAATTCTTAATAACTTAATTATAACTTAATTATAACTCCATCCCCCCCACCTTTTTCCCCTTCGTCCCTTCCTCCCCAAGCCCAGGACTCACGTTTCGGATTCCCTCGACGAAGGCGCGCGTGGCCAGCTGTCCCGGCCCGTCCACCGTCTTGCCGTCGTCGTCGGGGCCCCAAGACGCCGAGTAGATGTCGATGTGCTGCGGGTTGAGGGCCAGGGACCGCGCCTCCACTGCGTCTGTCACGTCGCCGTCCAACATGCGGACACCTGGAGGAGGAGGAGGAAGATAAGGAGGTGGAGGAGGAAACAAAGATGAGCGTCAGCAATTATACATTCATGCCTTTTAAGTCTAACAACAGGAACTGAAACAATAATATCGTCAATCGTAAGATTTAAAAAAAAAAAATGCACAACAAATCACCCAATGACCCTGACTATCAATCACTTAAACACGTATCCCACCCCTATACCTCCCCGCCACTACCCCCCTCAAGCGTTCCCCCAAGGCTCCCCCCCCACACACACCTCCCACAGACGCCTCGTAGGCCACCCCGACGGCGCAGATGGAGTTGTTGGCGTCGGCGGCCACCTCGCCGGCACAGCGCGTCCCGTGGCGGTTCGAGTCCACCAGGTCATGCATACATTAAATACATGCATACATTAAATACATGCATACATTACATACAGCATACATTACATACATACATTACATACATTACATACATCCTTTACATACATACATTACATACATTACATACATGCATACATTAAATACATGCATACATTAAATACATGCATACATTAACATACATGCATACATTAAATACATGCATACATTAATACATGCATACATTAAATACATGCATACATTACTACATGCATACATTAATATATGCATACATTACATACATTACATACATCCTTTACATACATACATTACATACATCCTTTACATACATACATTACATACATACATTACATACATCCTTTACATACATGCATACATTACATACATGCATACATTACATACATGCATACATTACATACATGCATACATTACATACATGCATACATTACATACATGCATACATTACATACAGCATACATTACATACCTGCATACATTACATACATCCTTTACATACATGCATACAGTACATACATGCATACCTTACATACATGCATACAGTACATACATGCATACATTACATACTGCATACATTACATACATGGCATACATTACATACATGCCTACATTACATACATGCATACATTACATCATGCATACATTACATACCTGCATACATTACATACCTGCATACATTACATACATACATACATGCATACATACATACATTACATACAGCATACATTACATACATTACATACATGCCTACATTACATACATGCCTACATTACATACATGATACATTACATACATGATACATTACATACATTCATACATTACATACATGCATACATTAAATACATGCATACATTAAATACATGCATACATTACATACATGCATACCTTACATACATGCATACCTTACATACATGCATACCTTACATACATGCATACATTACATACCTGCATACATTACATACCTGCATACATTACATACATGCATACCTTACATACATGCATACATACATACATACATACATGCATACCTTACATACATGCATACTTACATACATGCATACCTTACATACATGCATACAGTACATACATGCATACTTACATACATGCATACCTTACATACATGCATACAGTACATACATGCATACAGTACATACATGCATACAGTACATACATGCATACAGTACATACATGCATACAGTACATACATGCATACAGTACATACATGCATACATTACATACATGCATACATACATACATGCATACATTACATACATGCATACATTACATTACATGCATACATTACATACATGCATACATTACATACTGCATACATTACATACATGCATACATTACATACATGCATACATTACATACATGATACATTACATACATCCTTTACATACATGCATACCTTACATACATGCATACCTTACATACATGCATACAGTACATACATGCATACATTAAATACATGCATACATTACATACATTCATACATTACATACATGCCTACATTACATACATGATACATTACATACATTACATACATTACATACATGCTACATTACATACATGCATACCTTACATACATGCATACTTACATACATGCATACATTACATACATTACATACATGCATACAGTACATACATGCATACCTTACATACATGCATACAGTACATACATGCATACCTTACATACATGCATACCTTACATACATGCATACCTTACATACATGCATACCTTACATACATGCATACAGTACATACATGCATACAGTACATACATGCATACAGTACATACATGCATACATTAACATACATGCATACATTACATACATACATACATTACATACATACATACATACATACATACATACATGCATACATACATACATTACATACATCCTTTACATACATACATACATTACATACATCCATACATACATACTACATACATTACATACATCCTTTACATACATACATAATACATACATACATACATACATACATGCATACATACATACATGCATACATTAACATACATGCATACATTACATAATGCATACATTACATACATGCATACATTAATACATGCATACATTACATACATCATACATACATACATGCATACATTACAGACATGCATACATTACATACATGCATACATTACATAATGCATACATTACATACATGATACATTACATACATGCATACATTACATACATGATACATTACATACATACTACATACATTACATACAGCATACATTACATACATGCATTACATTACATACATGCATACATTACATACATAATACATACATTACATCATGCATACATTACATAATGCATACATTACATACATGCATACATTACATACATGCATACATTACATACATGCATACATTACATACATGCATACATTACATACATGCATACATTACATACATGCATACATTACATACATGCATACATTACATACATGCATACATTACATACATGCATACATTACATACATGCATACATTACATACATGCATACATTACATACATGCATACATTACATACATGCATACATTACATACATGCATACATTACATACATGCATACATTACATACATGCATACATTACATACATGCATACATTACATACATGCATACATTACATACATTACATACATGCATACATACATACATACATTACATACATACATACATACATACATACATACATACATACATACATACATACATACATACATACATACATACATACATACATACATACATACATACATACATACATACATTACATACATACATTACATACATACATTACATACATACATACATACATACATACATACATACATACATACATACATACATACATACATACATACATACATACATACATACATACATACATACATTACATACATACATACATTACATACATACATACATACATACATACATTACATACATACATACATTACATACATTACATACATTACATACATTACATACATTACATACATTACATACATTACATACATTACATACATTACATACATTACATACATTACATACATTACATACATTACATACATACATATATTACATACATACATTCATTGCAAACATATATACATTCATTACATGCACTGCATACATACACAAATCAAAATATAAATAAAGATGAAAAAAAATACCATCACACATACACACGTAAACACGCAAAACCGAACACACGCCGACCAAACCACTCAAAACAGAACCACCTCTTCTCACCCATTCGAACCATTCAACGAACCAACCACGTCCTCATCCGAACCACTTAACCTCTTCAAATCCACCTCCACTTACCAAATACCACATCTGCGGCCACTTGGGATCGTCCATCCACGTGGAGATGAACTTGGTGGAGCGATCTTGGTGCATGAAGTCCCGCTTCACTCGCCGCTTCACCACCTGCTGCTCGGCCCACCGCACCTGCGCGACACAGAGGCTCATTAGCGCCCGAGTGGAGTCCCCGCGCGGGCTTCTAAGCTTAGATAAGTTGAGAGGAGGGGAAAGTCGAGCGAAGTCAAGCTGAGGCGAGTAGAAAGTCAAGCTGAGTCAAGAGGAGTCCAGTGGAAAGTCAAGCTGAGTCGAGAGGAGTCCAGTGGAAAGTCAAGCTGAGTCGAGAGGAGTCCAGTGGAAAGTCAAGCTGAGTCGAGAGGAGTCCAGTGGAAAGTCAAGCTGAGTCGAGAGGAGTCCAGTGGAAAGTCAAGCTGAGTCGAGAGGAGTCCAGTGGAAAGTCAAGCTGAGTCGAGAGGAGTCCAGTGGAAAGTCAAGCTGAGTCGAGAGGAGTCCAGTTGAGTTAAAGTCAAGTTAAAGCTAACTTTGCCTAATCTGTTGTTGGATATTTAGGTTGACAGCAATTCTGTCTAATCTAGCAGAATTCTCCTTTGGTTTCTAGGTGTATATAGGTCTACACTTTTTAAGTGTTAATTAGTGAATGGACTTCGACTGTAATCTTCACAGTGGGAATTGAGTTAAGTAAATACACAAAATCATAACCTACATAACTTGCCACACAGTCATTAAAAAGAAAAAAAACGTATCAACTATGAATCAAAGCAATTACACTCCAAATACCCTCGCCCACCCCACCCCACCCCCACCCCTCGCAAATTCGAAAACCAATAACCCCCCCCCCCCCCAAAAAAAAAAAAAAAAAAAAAAGAAGAAGAAGCTAGACTCCCTCGAAACCGAAAGCGAAAAGCTCTACTCACATGCGGCTCCGAGATGAGCTTCTCGTGGTGCAGCAGCGACGGGTCGGCCGAGCGTCGGGCCACTCGCCGGTGACGTAACAAGTAGACGTCGTCAAAAATCTGCAGATGGAGAAAAGGGAAAAAGGATTCCTCATTAGACCGTGGCTTCAACAGGTTCGTAATTTTGAAGGTTTGGGAAAAAAAAAATATGTATACATTCTTTCTTACAAAGGTACGAAGAGAGGAGAGAGGGGGGGGGGAAGAGGGGGAGAGAGAGAGAGGAAGGAAGGAGAGGGAGAGTACGAGTTAATTAGATCTCGCTATCTGCACATGACGCGTCTCTCCGACTTCGAGTAAACATGCAGATACATTTTAAATATCAAGTTATTTATAAGATACTAGATTAATAAATAAAGAAGTACATAAACAAAACTAGTGAGCAAAATATACATGGGTAAAGCAGTTCTGCAAAAATACAATAAGATAATCGAAAAATAATTTAAAACACTGATACGCAAAACCATCAACTACCACACACTCCCACCAAAAATAAGCAGTCAACGATAAAAAATAGGAAAAAAAACAACAAAAAACAAAAAACAAAACATCTAATGGCTGAAAAGTGAGCCGCCCTAACGACTTGATGACACAAGTTCCCGTGTCCTCTCCCTTCCCCCCTCCCCCCTCCCCCCTTCCCTTTCCCCTACCCCTTGCCTGGCCCCTCCCACCCCCTTCCCCCTTCCCCTCCCCCTTGCCTGGCCCCTCCCACCCCCTCCCCTTTCCCCTACTCCTTGCCTGGCCCCTCCCACCCCCTCCCCTTTCCCCTACCCCTTGCCTGGCCCCTCCCACCCCCTCCCCTTTCCCCTACCCCTTGCCTGGCCCCTCCCACCCCCTCCCCTTTCCCCTACTCCTTGCCTGGCCCCTCCCACCCCACCCCGTCTCAATTTATGTCTACTTGACTCCTTCCGCACTCCCTCTCCCCCCTCTCCCCCCTCCCCCCTCCCTCTTCGGAAGGCTGCCGCTCAAGTACTTATATCAAATTACAAATGAGAGACGGGTAAGGGAAGCGGCAGACGAGGGAGAGGGAGGAGGATGGGGGGGAGGGGGAGGGAGGGAGGGAGGAAGGGGGAGGGAGGGAGGGAGGGAGGGAGGGAGGAGGAGGAGGAAGGGGGAGGGAGGGAGGGAGGGAGGAGGAGGAGGAAGGGGGAGGGAGGGAGGGAGGGAGGAGGAGGAGGAAGAGAGGAGGAGGAGGAAGAGAGGAGGAGGAGGAAGAGGGAGGAGGAGGAGGAGGGAAGGGGGAGGAAGGAGGAGGAGAGGGAGATGGGGGGGGAAGGCGAGGAGAAGAAGAAAGGGGAAAGAAAACGTAGAAGAGGGAAGGGGAAGAAGAGGGAAAAGGGAGACGAAGGAGAGGGAAGGGAAAGGGGAGGGAGGGTGGAGGGAGGTGAAGCGACGGGGGGGGGGGGGGGGGTAATGTCTCACTCAAAGTTCTGGCAACAATGCATCATTCGAGGCGTCGCCTTCTTAAGCTGCCTCTTTAAACTTTACGCGTCGTTCCCCTACCCCTCCCCTACTCCTCCCCTACCCTTTGTTTCTCTTTCTACCTCTTGTCTTCCATTCGTCTACCCTCTCTTTCCTTAGAGGGTTTGTTCTCTCTTCTCCCTTTCCTGTCTTATTTCTTTTCTCTCGCCTTCCACCCTTACACTTCCTTAAACTCTCAATCTCCCTACTTCCCTTCTTATCCTTCCTTCTTTTCCTTCCATACTCTTCCTCCTCCCTTTCCTTCCTTCCTCTCCCCCCCCCTTTCATTATCCTTTTTTTCGCTACAGGATCTCTCCCTCTCCCTCTACCTATCCCTCTTTCCACATTTTCCTCCTTGTTCTTCCTCCTCCTCCTCTTGCCTCGCCTCCTCCTCCTCCTCCTCCTCCTCACTTGTTCCTTTCGCTTCATCTTCATCCTCGCCTATCCTTTGTCTCATTGTCTCGCCATATCTTTCCAAATTTTCCTAAATCATTTTACGACAGCGAGGAAGCACTTAATTAGCGGGTATGTTTTAGAGCGGCCTTTGTATGAAGTCAATTAGATTTTATAAAATGTTAACAAAAAAATGGGTGTATCTATTCAACTCAATTATGCTTCGATTTCTCTGGAATTATAATGGGATTTAAAGAGATTGCGGCAGTGGGTCTGGCTGGTGGTGGTAGGTGGTGGTAGGAAGTGGTACTGACAGTAGTGGTGGTAGGTGGTAGTAGAAATATCAACAGTAGTGGTGGTAAGTGAAAGTAGTAACAGGCGTGGTAGGTGGTAGTAATAATGGTAGCTAGTAGCTGGTAACCGATAGCGATAGCTATAGCCATAGTTATCGTGGCACTGCCATAAGTGGCACCGGCATACAAGCGTGCCCATCCCACGTGAATTGCTGCCCCGCCCGCCAATCGAGGGGCCGCGAGAAGGCACCGCCCGCCCAAGCAATACCTATGTAAATGCAATGGGTTCCGACGACGTTCTGCCACCTGGAGCTGTCCATGTAAATAAAACCAGAATAAAAGATCTTGACGCAGGAAGATGGAGAGAGAAGAAAAAAACGAAAGAAACAGAGAAATGAGCCAGGAGACATGGGAGGGGGAAGGGGGAGGGAATGTAGGTAGGAGAGGATAGGGGGGGAGGGGGAGTTGTAGGGGAAGGGGGGAGAAAAAGGAAAAGGAAAGGGATAATGAGAGGGGAAGGGGAAGGGAAAGGAAATGATAAAGGGGATGGGGAGGAAAAAACGTAAAATTAAGGGAAAGGGAATGAGGAGGGGGTGGTCGAAAGAGAAGAGGGAAGGGGAAGGGGAGAGGGAAGAGAGAGGGAAAGGAATATAGGGGAAGGGAAAGGAGGAAGGGGGAGACGGGAGGAAAAAAAGGGGAAGGCGAGGCAGAGAAATCAAAAATGAATAGAATTTTGTCCTAAGTCAGGATCTTCCAAAAACCTAAAAAAAAAAAAATTAAAAAAAAATCTTTAAGCATCACAAGATCTTAAAATACAAGCCTATACTGCATTCTTCTCTAATAGTGTAATTTCCTTTCTTTTCTCTGCAGTTTTAGCGAACGCACAATAAACAACAGCAAAAAGAGCAGGTTTTAATCCCAACCCAAGAATAAAAAACCCGGAGTCGTAACCACGTCGCATCAGACCACAACCAACAACCTCGTACGCTATTTCCGGCACGGGTAATGGAGCTCGCTTCTAATGGCAACATTTTTTTTTTTTTGTTATTCAACTTTATCTTATCCTTCGATCCCCCCTTCCAAAGTCATTATCTCCGCCCCCGTTAACCAGGCCGAGACCCTTGCTCTTCCGAATCTCGCCATTTTCCCCATTTTGCTACGTCACTCACTCGGACAGGCTTCTTCTCCCCGCCTCTCCTCCGCCAGGCCGTCGCCTCTATATCATAGTCGGCGTCAAAGTTATAAAACTTCGTTAAAGTACATGATTTACAGAGATATATAGCGACGGCACAAGACATATGGTAATGGGTTTCGCCCTAATCCCGGAGCTCGGCCAAAGCGCTTAGGGTTAAGCGGGGATAAAGTCTACGGAAGTGGGACGCCACGTTTAACTAACTCCGGCCGGCGTCAGGGGACATGGTCGAAGCCCGAAGTCTCGAGAACGGATAGCTGCAATATCCCAAAATGCGAGACCGACCGCTAGATCTATATCATCTTCAAGATAAAAAAAAAAAATCACTCCCCACAAATTCTGGCCAGAGAAAGCCTGCGAACAAACAGACTTGTATAAAACGCAAGTCGGGGATATATATCGATGATCATAAAAGTCAGCGGCGGCGACAGTTCCATTCCCGCGGCCCCGACCGTCACAGATTTTTTCGCAAATCCATTGTAGCGGGGTTCGTTGCGTTATCGATGCGCAAAAATGGACCCTAAACAGCCTCAGCAGAAGGCCCTCGGCTTAAACCGCCTTACTGCAAGCGTGCAAGTGACATTTAACATCTTCATGATAGTGCATAAAAGCAAGCAGAGACCAGGGCTGTAAACGCATGCTATGGAAATTGGATGGCCGGGGGAGGGGGCAAAAAAGAAGGAACAGGGAGGAAGGGAGGGAGAGAAGAGGAAGAGCGAGGGGGAGGTAGACGGAGAGAGGGAGAGATGGGGAATGGGGGAAAGCGGAGAGGGATTGAGGGAGATGGAGTGGGAAGGGGGGAGGGGGAAGGGGAGAGGGAGAAAGAAGAAAAGGAGAGAGGCTAAGCGAGTGGGGGAGATGCAAGATGTGTAGCAAGAGAAAAAGAAAAAAATGCGAGAAGAGCAAAAACAAGATTAATGAGAGGGAGACGGACAGACAGACGAAAATTAACCCATTGCCGCCGGGGAGGGCATGTACGTACATGCCATGCCCACTGTGAGTCGACTTGTTCGATTGTTTTTACACATAGATGGCTACACTTGTACTAAGTATCCAGTGAGCCAATTACGAGTACTGCCTGTCTCGCCCGTTCACCCTTTTCATCGATTTACGAAAATATTTAACGTTATCCTAATTTGCTGTTAAAAATAACACCATCTATATTTATAGCACTAGTAAAAATACGTTTTTTTCCCGCCAATTCGAGGAATGGTGAAATCAGGACTAGCAGAGCCATCTATGGACAGAGATATTTCACAAAAATATAAAAAATGTACTGCATTTCCCCCATTTTTTGTTCATTTTCCCCGGCGGCTATGGGTTAAGAGACCTAGATATGAATAAAACAATCCCCCCAAAAAAGTGTGTGAATGTGTGCGCGCGCGAGTGTGTGCTTGTGTCTGTATGTCACTCACTCTCACTCTCTCTCTCTCTCGCACACACGCGCACACGCACACACACAAACACACGCACACACACACGCACACACACACGCACACACACACGCACACACACACACACACACACACACACACACACGCACACACACACGCACACACACACGCACACACACACACACGCACACACACACACACGCACACACACACACACGCACACACACACACACGCACACACACACACACGCACACACACACACACACACGCACACACACACACACGCACACACACACACTCACGCACACACGAACGCCCACTAATTGCGA